TTTTTTTTTTTTTTTGACAGGGTCTCCTTTTTGTGTATAGGCTAATATCCACCTTGTGAGTGAGTATATGTGATCCTCCTGCCTCAGCCTCCCAAGTGGCCAGGTGTGTGGCACCCAGCCTAGTGGTTAGACATCATAGCTAAGAAATGAGGGCACAAGTACAGTACGTGGCAAGTGTGAACAAGCCATACTCACAGAAGAGGAAGAGGTAACTGCTCAGCTCAAGGCAAATACACTTGAAAGTTTAGATGAAATGGGTGGTTCCTCTAGCCAGACAAGACATAAAAACTATGCAGACCAAGTAACATAAACTAAAAGAAGAAAATTGTCAAAAACAACTTCCCAAGTATCTGCCAGGTCAATAATTTCATTTTAAAGAACAGAAAATTCCAATGCTGTTTATACTGTCGCAGAGCACAGAAATCGGAGGCAAGTTTCCAGACCCACCCGCATAAAACTAATACAAATCTTCTCCGAGATAACATGTAGGCAAGCACACATGCACACAGAGGGGCTGGTCTCACTGACACATCTCAAACAACATGGAACAGTCTGGCAATACAGTAAAAAATGAACACGTTCAAACAGAGTTTATTTCAGGGATGCGAGGATGAAGGTGGTTTAAAATTGCAAAGCGTATTTATAAAATCTGCCGTACCAGAATCAAAGTACGAATCACTGAAATATCCCCACGGAGGGCGAAAAGGAATGTGATAAACCTGACATGCTTCTTAGATGTCTCGTTTAAAACAGGGATCAATGGATGCTCCTCGGTATGGTAACCTGTCTACCTCAATCCCGTGCATCAGGGCCAGTGCGATTTAACCCTTTTCTAACAGACCTTATTAGCAATTAAACAAGACACAAAGTGGTAAGCAACACACTTGTCAAGGCTTGTAGAGGACGTGATCAAATAGCTGAAAACCATTATTTCAAACCTAAGAAAGCCAGCTTGGATGGCTGGGTAGAAAACTACACTACAAATCATTAGCCTTTCTGTGTACTAAATTAGTCTAAATAACATGGAGGGGACTTCAGTAATCAGTGATAAAATGATGGAATTTGTTAAGAATAAACTTTAAAGATGTATGTATTACATTTCTGTGAACTATGTCTGAAGGAAATAACAGCAAAACCTCCCTAAATGAACAGGCACTATTTAGAGACGGAACCATGATGACAGAAGAGGCTTTCATATGATAATGATGTAAAATTTCCATAAGTCTATTAACACAATTAAAAATGTTCAAAGCAAAAAGTCTGTGGGTCTCAGGTTGATTTTAAAGCTCAGATGTTAAAATATGCAGGAATACTGAGATATATTTTAAAATAAGTCACTAAAACAGTGTCGCAGGGGTATAAAAGGAGGCAGATTAAATGGAAGGAGAATTAGTCTAGAAACACACCCAAATAATGCGGCAATGTACCACATAGAGGTTCAGTCTCAAACTACCAAAGAAAGGGTGTACTATTTAATACGTTGCTCTGGGAAATCTAGTCACATGGAAAAAACAAACAAACAAACAAACAAGCAAAACAATGAAACCCTACATTCAGGATAGAACTGTGACATAAAGGTAAAAGTAAAAGAGATACTTAATGCTAAGTACTCCAACGCTAACAACGTGTTTCCTCCTGAAGAGTGCAGACGCGCCTGTGGTGCCATCTGCGCTGTGACGGCGGCCTGTGCAGACGTACGGACACATCTGTGCATGGGCACAGCGCTCGGCGCTCCTGGCGGGATTACACGCTGTGGCACCAGCGGCTTTTCACTGTCTGAGCCAGGAAGGTGTTGAGCTAGTAAACAGACAAATGAGACATGCCAGAAAATAAAACCAAAACCCTACAGCCAATGGCGTATTACTAACAACCAAAAAGAACAATTTGCTAACGGAATTCTGTCGGAATACTCTGTGGGGCCCTGGAGTGTAAGTGAAGACAGTGTGAAAGGAGTACTGATCACCGTGCTGTGTCTGATGAGTTTACAAGTACACTGCAGAGGCAACCCCCACCCAGGTCCGCAGGGAACCTCGCCCGTGGGCAAGTGTGAGCTACTGTCTCCGTCTCAAGAGTGCAGAACATGCCTGCTTTCACTTTCTTCTAGGTGTATTACGTGTTTTATAACCTGAATCTGTATTTGTACCACAATTCAACAAAAATAAACAACTTTGATTTAAAAAGTACCTCAAGGCAATAAAAATCATTTTAATTTTTGATACATATTGAAACATTTTAGTCAGTTCTCCTGACAGCATAACATGGCCAGTACACAAGACTTCCGACACGCTTTAAAATGACATTCACAAAGTATTTAAATCTAATAAATAGCGATAACCACACACACATACATTTTCGTACTCAATCATGAAACTACTAAAACAGATAGCTAAAGAATAAATAAACAGGAGTTGACAATAAAAAAATAAACAGATTTTGTAATTCATTCTACTTTAAAAAGAGGGCAATCTGAATTATGTCTTAATTTGCTTTTCTTCAAAACTACAGCATGACCCCCATGAATAAAATATACTGAACAAAATCACAATAACGCAGTTTTTAAATACAACAAATAAATATGAAACTGGCAAAGCAACTTCAAATTGTAATACAAATGCTCCCCGACCCTGAAAAAAGCTATGGAAATATATAGTCACTGTGGTAGCAAATCATAGTATTAAAGTGAGCGTGCCTGTGCACTAAACTCATCAGAGACCTTGACACGTTAGTGCAAATCCGCAGGGTCCAATACAAGTGTAACCCTAGAGCATCAGGGAAAGACGTCACCAGCTAGAACTCACCATGTACAATTTCTGTACATATCTTATAAAGTTCAAGGTTTAATGCATAGTAGAATATCTTCATCTGCTTAATTCTGTCCCTAAATAGAGATGAAAACAGAAATGACTTGGGATTTTTACCATTTGGTTTAGACCATATTAGAGTATTAAAGTCAGTATTAGAAAATCTAGAAAAGTTTTATTTTTGCCATTAATTCATCTAATTCTACCTAAATTCACATCACTGTATGTCAAACATGAGAAAAAGTTTGAGGAATTTTTTTCCCATTTGACAAGATAATATTATGAGGAATCCAATAAAAGACAAGTATCACACAAATAAAAAGGTGAGTGTGAAGGCTTTTTTTTTCGTACGTTAACAATCTTAGCATCTAGTGTACTGTTACAAGATGTGCTGGCAAAAGCATAAAAGGTTCAATGAAAAGGTACTCTCGTACAAACTTTTTAACGTAAATGGTAAAAATGAGAGAGGAGTTAAGCAGCCTGGTTTCCGCCGAGGGCTACAGTAACAGGATACAATCCAATGGAAGGGAGAGCAGAGCGCCCCGAATGGGGTCAGGTTGTAAGTGCACAGCGCGTCCGCTCCAGCCGACTCCAGATCCAGAGCGACAAGGAGCTCGACGGCCAGTTTCCGGCACACTTCCTAGCAGAGCAGCAGCGCCTCGTCGTCGCTCGCCTCGCTCTTGTGCGCGGCGTCCGCGTCCCGGCGGCAGGAGTCAGGCACCCGGGCGGTG